TAAAATTATAAAAACCAAATTTTTTATTTCTAAATTAATTTATAAAAGAGGGTAATTTTATAATTATAAATTCATTATTTAATTAAAAAATAAATATAATTAAAGATAAAAAATTAAAATATATTATTAATAAATTTTATAATTATTAAAATTTTATTAATAATATAATATTATTTATTAGAGTTTTACTTTTTTATATTATTAACTCTAACTTTAAAAATTTTTTAAAAACCCCCTTTTTAGTCTTAATATATAGTAAATCTTACTTTAACCCCCCCTCCTCTAAACTATAGGAGGGGTTATCTTGCCCCTAACCCCTCCCCTTTACCCCTATAGATAGAGGGGGGGGAAGTTTCCTAGGGTAGGGGGTATAAGTCTAATTAAAATTAAAGTATAAAAAGAATATTTAAGGTACTATAATAACTATTTAAAGGTACTAATATTAAAAATAATAAGGTTTAATTTAGCTATTATAGCGCTAGTAAGATAACTAATAAGATACTATAATAATTACTATAATATATACTACTACTATAGCTACCTATATATATCTATTTTTTAAAATATCTATTAAACTAGTTTTATTAATAAAGATTATATAAACTAGAATATTAAATAATATTAATTTATAACTAAATAAAGCCTTTATTAAGTACTTATTTATTAAATATATATATAAGATATTTAGATAGTCGATATAGATAAAAACGACGGCGTACTTGGCTACTCTATCTACTTAGCCAAATAAGGAAGTCCATGAGGCGCTAATTTTGATGCGAGCAAAAGCTGCTGAAGGGGTCTATTAATAAGAACTGATAGACACGAGGTGGAGCAATACGAGGGATAAAGACATGTGTGCGCCAAGTGGAAGGAATAAATGAATGAATGGCAGAAGCCAGTAGAAGCCAGCACGAGGGTTTGATAGCTATTATATGCCGCCTTTGCAAACAAGTATTCCGCTCATAAGAGTACCAAAAGAAAAAAGAAGAAGAAAACGTACTCCCCCGCAAGGAAGAATTGAAAGCTATTCAGAAGTACTTTCGGAGACCAAAGTCAAGAAAGGCTTGGGAATGGGGTGGTATAACGAACTGAACAGTGAATTGGTTAAGTTAAGGAGACCGACTTGCGAAAACAGATAGATAACCAAAGGGCAGTTGAACGGTTCTGGTGTACGCAGTCATTTTTTGCACCTTTCAGTCTAATCTGAGTTAATCTTGCTCCCCTCCCTTTTTTTATTGAAACACAGCTTGTTTGGCGAGGCAGTCTGCGTGACGGTTGTAGGCTCACTCCACGTTCGACAGAAGTGGACAGCCACACCCTTTACGTTGATATCAAGGATACATTCATCAAGCCACTTGACAAAAATTCTCCATTAACCACGGGCTTTCCTTTGGCATTGGTGTATCGATTTGTTTTCCATTTCGGCATCCACTCTGTTGCCGCCCTTACCAAGTATTCCGAGTCTGACTTGTAGTCACGTTGACAATGGGTTTGCCATAGCTTCCATTAGAACATATGTCTCTTGCCATTTGAAGTGCTTTGATGGTAGCCATGAGCTCCACCTCCTGGTTTGTGGGCTTATCAATATCAAGCACAAGGCTTAGAACAAAAGTAGATGCCCAATAGCTTGGGCATAAGGTGTCCCATTGTTAGAACACGCCCGTCAACATCGATGACGATGCAGTCTATATGTGAAGGGGGTTTGCTACAGTGATCACAACGCCTCAGGTATCCGCACATTGATAAAACCCATTCACCTTCGTCAACTTCCAGCTTGCTGACATCAATATTGTTATGATATATTTCGAAAGGATTGAATCGGAAGCATCCAATTCCGCGGAAACACGAGGCTCGAGGACAACTTCACCCAGGAACCAGCATAATGTAGGATACAATAGGGATCTCTAGGGGCTGGAGCACGGGTTGTCAGCTTGCAAGGTCCTAAGCTTGTTGGTTGGATGACGGGCATGGAATTCAACAATAATAGTGTGGACGTCATCGAAACGCGGTGAAGCAAGGGAGCTCCCGTTTGAATTGTACAGTACTATGCAGAGGAAACAAGGTGGCAAGGGTATCTAACAAAACGCAGCATAAGACCAAGCAGACGACGGCCGGCCATTCAATGTCTACTCCCGCTGGGCACAAGTAGCTCACAGACGCTGCTGGATGGTTATAGGGGATTCAGGGGGTGTAACTAACTCCTTAGTTGAGGTAACTGGGGGGGCCGTGTATGACTAAGCTCTTACTTATTTCTTTTTTGAGTTTGAGTGTCTTACATAAGCAATGCTACGTAATCTATGCTGACGTAATGTGGGTAGGTCTCCGCGCTTTTTCGAGGCTTTCAGGGGGAGTTTTTGGACGAACGACAAGCAGGCTCTGAACCTCTTCGTCTTCGGCCTCTTCTGCTTGCTATTTCGCCTCTTGTTCTGCTTTTTCTTTAACTGCTTCGTCGTGCTCTAGCTTGCATTGCTCCTCTGTGCATTTGTCCCTTTGTCTTGCGTCAGATTCCTTCCCTCCAGTGGAGACCGTTGAGCTTCCTCTGCACCCCCGCTATCAAGAGAGAGCTCGAGTAGCTTATACCTTCGACTCCAGCTACAGCCATGCCTCGAGCGGACGCGTAAGTTGAAATCCTGCCTGTGTGGCCTTGATACTCTTTAATTGAGCTGTTCTGACTGGTGCTTTGTGGTTTGTAGTAACGTTGACATCCTTGTCATTGGTGCTGGCCCTACTGGTTTAGGTGCCGCAAAGAGATTGAACCAGATCGTGGGTTTAAGCACCATATAACAAAGACTGGGAAGCTTTAACTGAATTTAATTGCTGACACTCTCATTATCTGCTAGAATGGCCCATCCTGGATGATAGTTGACTCGAACGAGGTTCCTGGTGGTCTAGCTTCGACCGATGTTACCCCTGAGGGCTTCGTACGCCGCTCCCTGTTTAACACCGTCTTACCAACCAGAGGCTAACTTACCTCGCGCTTTCAGTTGTATGATGTCGGTGGCCATGTCATCTTCTCCCACTACAAATATTTCGATGACTGCATCGATGAGGCCCTCCCTAAGCCTGATGACTGGTACACCCACCAGCGTATCTCCTATGTTCGTTGCAAGGAGGCTTGGGTGCCATACCCCTTCCAAAACAACATCTCCATGCTTCCAAAGGAGGAGCAAGTGAAATGTATTGATGGCATGATTGACGCCGCTATGGAGGCTCGCGTGGCAAACACTAAACCCAAGGACTTTGACGAATGGATCGTTCGCATGATGGGAGTTGGAATTGCTGATTTATTCATGAGACCATACAACTTCAAAGTTTGGGCTGTTCCTACTACAAAGGTGAGAAGAGAAGAAAGAACAAAAAACCTGTTTTTGCTATCCTTTGAGCCTAGATATAGTATTAACTGTTTTTTAGATGCAATGCGCTTGGCTCGGTGAACGTGTCGCTGCACCAAACCTCAAAGCTGTCACAACCAACGTCATTCTGCAGAAGACTGCCGGAAACTGGGGGCCCAATGCTACGTTCCGTTTCCCGGCCCGTGGTGGTACAGGCGGCATCTGGATTGCTGTGGCCGACACTCTCCCGAAGGAGAAGAAGCGCTTCGGAAAGGATGCGGCTGTTACCAAGGTTGACGCTTCCAACAAGTCCGTCACTCTAGCCGACGGATCCGTTATCAAATACCAGAAGCTTGTTTCCACCATGGATGTCGATGCTTTGGCTGAATCTATGGGCGACAAGGAGTTGATCAGCCTCAGCAAGGGACTCTTCTACTCCTCCACCCACGTCATCGGTGTTGGTATCAGAGGCGAACGCCCAGAGAGAATTGGAGACAAGTGCTGGGTAAGTTCCTTCTGTCTCATTCTCTTGTGCTACATGTAGAATACCCTACAGTGCTAACTTTTATGTGATAGCTGTACTTCCCTGAGGACAACTGCCCCTTCTACAGAGCCACCATCTTCTCCAACTACTCTCCCTACAACTGCCCTGAGACTTCCACCTCTCTCCCAACCCAGCAGCTTGCCGATGGTTCCAAGCCCACCGACTCCTCCTCCAAGCCTGGTCCCTACTGGTCCATCATGCTCGAGGTCTCCGAGTCTTCAATGAAACCCGTAGACAACGAGAAATTGCTCGCGGAATGTATTCAGGGTCTCGTCAACACATCTATGCTGAAGCCCACTGACGAAATCGTCTCTACTTACCACCGCCGCTTTGACCACGGTTACCCAACCCCTACCCTTGAGAGAGAAGGCGTCCTCACCCAACTCCTGCCCAAACTCCTGGAACAGGGTATCTACTCCCGTGGCCGCTTTGGTAGCTGGAGGTACGAGGTCGGTAACCAGGATCATTCGTTCATGCTTGGTGTCGAAGCCGTGGATAACATCATCAACGGCGCTGTGGAGATGACCCTGAACTATCCTGATTTCGTCAACGGCCGCCAAAACAATGAGCGCAGACTTGTTGATGGTGCCCAGGTGTTTGCTCTCCGAGCCAAGAATTAAGTTTCCCGATACACAGCTAGCTAATCTTAGAAGGTTTCTGAGTACTTCAGCTCTATTCGGAAAGGATATAGACGTGGAGGGAAAAGGACTGATTTTCTTCGTCTGTTTGCTTTTTTTAATGACTTGTTACATGGCTGAAAGAATGAGAAAGGAAAGAAGGGGCCAGCTAATACATAAAAGATGGATGAATACCCGAATAGAAAGTGGAAAGACGATGCTGAAAACAGCCATATAGATTTTCAAGGAATAAATTAAGACACACTCGTTCTACTTGATATATTAACTACCTCCCGCTCGCTTTCCATCCCAGGGCTGAAGTAGCTTGACTGGTAGATGTCGCTTAAATATATAATTGACCCGTGGGTATAAGCCTTAAAAGTCCTGAAAAATGGCGTAGAACGTTGGAAAGATTAAATCCATACTCTTGGTATGTGTATGACGTTTAGAGGAGTGAATAGTGGATGTTAATCAACACTCCGGCTCCAGCATCTCATCGACACTTGGTAGGCCCCTCAACCAGCTTTCCGTATCCTCCTATGTAGCCCAGGGAATAAGTTAGCATGCTCGACCCAAATACATCCATTTGAATATATTCTCCTGACCCACCATCTTTTCTACCTGCACTTGCTCTCGAAGTGCATCACGAATAGGGTCCCAGAACGAGCGAGTAACTGACTCAATAGGCGGCAGCGGCCAGCTGTTTGTTGCCGTATTGAACTGAAGAGGTTTAAGAGTGAGAGTGTTTGGTGATACTGAGCGACTGACAGGGCTTGTTGAAGGCGGCTGGCGAGTATCATCCTAAAAAGACAATGTAAGGGAGACTGGTTGAGCAGCCATGCATAGACGTAAACAGCAAAGGGGAAGAATACAGCGTAGACTTGCTTACCAGAGAAGAGTTCGTTGATATCGCTTCTTTCGCTGGCGGTTCTTCTTCTTCTT